CTGGGAAAGCAGTAGAAGATGGCCCAAGTCCTTGGGTCCCTGCACCCACGTGGGAAGCCCGGAAGAAGCTCCTGGCTCCTGCCTTAGGATTGGCACAGCTCTAGCTGTTGTAGCCAACTGGAGAGTGTACCAGCGGATGGAAGACTCTCTCTCTCTCTGCCTCTGCCTCTCCTTCTCTTTCTGTGTTAACTCTGAATTTCAAGTAAAATAAAATAAATCTTAAATATATATATAATGCAAGGAAAAAGTGAAAAATCACAAAATTATCCTTGGTACTCTAGATGGGTGATAGAAATGGGAAACTCAGTAAAGGGTTGAACAATAAAGCTGAGGTAGGGCAGGCATTCGGCCTAACAGTTGACAAACCCATCAAATGCCCAGCTCAGCTCCTAACTCCAGCTTCTGACTAATGTAGACCCTGCAGGGAACTGGCATAGCTCAAGTGACTGTGTTCCTGGCTTCACCCAACCCCTGGGTAGGGTAAAGGGGATGTATGGCAGGCATTTGGAGAATGAACCAGTAGATGGCAGTGTTCTCTCTCTACCTCTCAGATGGAAAAAAACAAAACAAAACAAAAACTGCTTTTAAAAAGTAGAAACAGGGGCCGGCTCTGTGCCATAGCTGGTAGTGTCGCTGCCTGCAGTGCCAGCATCCCATGTGGGTGCCAGTGTGAGTCCCGGATGCTCCATTTCTGATCCAGCTCTCTGCTGTGGCCTGGAAGGGCAGTCGAGGATGGCTCAGGTCCTTGGGCACCTGTACCCATGTCGGAGCCCCGGTGGCGGGGGAGGCTCCTGGCTCCTGGCTTCAGATGGCCATCGAGGCTGTCTGGGGATGGAAGACCTCTCTTTCTCTCTCTCTCTACTTCTGTCTCTTTGTGACTCTGCCTTTCAAATAAATAAACAAATCTTAAAAAAAAAAAAAGAAACATACATGAAACTTGTATAATTTAAATAAAAGTTTTTTTTAAAAAAAGCAGAAACTAGCAAAAAAAAAAAAAAGAAAGCTGAAGAAATCTCAGAAAATACAGGGAAAAAATAAAAATATGAATTTGGGGACTGACACTGTGGTGTAGCAGGTAAAACTGCCGCCGCAACAAAGGAATCCCATGTGAGCACTTGTTCAAGTCTCAGATGCTCCATTTCCCATCCACCTCCCTGCTAATGGCCTGGAAAAGCAGCGGAAGATGATCCAAGTGTTTGGGCCTCTGCCACCCATGAGGAAGACTTGGATGAAGCTCCTGGCTTTGGCTTGGCCCAGCACTGGCCCTTGCAGTCATCTGGAAAGTAAACCACCAGATGGAAGATCCTTCAGTCTCTTCCTCTCTGTTTCAAATAAATAAATAAATAATTAAAACAAAAATTTCTGCCTACATATCCATTCATTTGAGTATATGTGTGGGTGTATCTCCTATAACTTTTATGCCACACACTACCTATTTTTTGAACATTTTCAAAATGTGAGAGGTGGGGCCAGTGTTGTGGTATAGCAAGTTAAGCTGCTTGCAATGCTGGTATTTCATAAGGGTGCTGGTTTGAGTTCCAGCTGCTCCACTGCCGATCTAGCTCCAGGGTAATGCTCCTTGGAAAGCAGCAATAGATGGCCCAAGAATAAAGCTCCTGGCTTCAGCTTGGTCTAGTGCCGGACACTGCAGCCATTTGGGGAGTGAACTAGTAGATGGAAGATCTCTATTTTTCCCCTTTCTCTCTGTAACATTTTCAAATAAATAATAATAACCAAAAAAATTTGAGAGGCTAAAAGAGGTGAGAAAGCCCATACTTCTCTCTGCTGGGTTGCTCCTAAAAAGTACATGTTAGCTCCCCCTAGCCCAAGGAGCTGGAAATTAATCCAGGTCTTTCTCATGGTGGCTGGACCCAATAACTGGAGCCATCACTGTTGCTTCCCAAAGTATACAGGAAGCTGAAATCAGGAGCCAGAGGCAGGACTTGAACCCAGGGACTCCGTTATCGGATGTGTGAGTCTTAACTGTCAGGCCAACCTTTTTACCTATTTTTATACTCTTTTCAATTATCATAATAATCTTGAGTAGATATAACTTGTTCATTTATCTTAATAAACTTTCACAGAATAAGTGATTTCCCAAAGTAGGAGAGCAGAGATTTCATCTTCAATCTGGCCAGTACCTAAACCAAGTCCTTTGTATTACAGCATGTTGCAAATACCCTAGAGACACTCTGCTGAAGAAAATACCTTTTCTAAGTAGTAATAACTGAGTGACATGTTACCCTGCTAAGCCTTAGTCCTCACTAGCTTTCATTTCCTGTGAAGGCCCATCATTGCTCTGGAGCCACACTCACATCTGATCATCTCATCAAACTACTATCACTGAATGTGAAATATTACCACTTCAGGTATCCTAAGAAAATAGCTCACATGATACAATATCCATTCCTAAAAGCTAGATATAGAACTGTACAACACACTATCAGAGGTTTAATTAAAGAGGTATACTGTGAGGGAGGCATAAAAAAATAAGAGCAAGTAACTTGGCAGGCAGCAACAAGCAACAGGGAAGGCAGGGATTCTAGAATGGGAAATAAGCTAATCATAAGGTTTCTTTTAATGAGCAATGGAAAACTCTTCTATCAAAACAGGCAAAATCTAAGATTCTACAGAATCCCAGACAATAATGGTAAAACTTCTTAAAAAAATAATTATCAGGGCTGGCACTGTGGTATAGTGGGTAAAGCTGCAGTCTGAGGCCAGCATTGTCGCACAGTAAGTTAAACCTCCGCCAGCAGCGCTGGCATCCCATATGGGTACTGGTTCTAGTCCCAGATGTTCCTCTTCCAAATAGCCTGGGAAAATAGTAGAAGATGGCCCAAGTGCTTGGGCTCCTGCACTGACATGAGGGACCTGGAAGCTTCTGGCTTAGATGGGTGCAGCTCTGGCCACTGCAGCAATTTGGGGAGTGAAATAGCAGATGAAAGACCCTTCTCTCTATCTCTCCCACTCTCTGTAACTCTACATATCAAATAAATTAAAAAAAAAAATCTTAAAAAAATAAAAAGCTTCAGCCTAAGATGCTGGCATCTCACATGGACAATGGTTCATGTCCTGGCTGCTCCAATTCCAATCCAGCTCTCTGCTAATGGCCTAGGAAAAACAGCAGAAGATGCCCCAAGTATTTGGGGCCCTGCCATCCATGTGGGAGTCCTGGAAGGAGCTCCTGCCTGTGGCCATCTGGGGAGTGAACTAGCAGATTGAAGATCTCTATCTCTCCCTCTAACTCTTTCAAATAAGTCTTAATAAAAAAAATTATTATTTGACTCTTAATGAGATTATCAGTTCAAACACTATTGTTAAAATCATTAACTGAGGGGCCAGTGCTATGGTGCAGTAGGTTAATCCTTCGCTTGTGGCACCAGTTCTAGTCCCGGCTGCTCCTCTTCCAATCCAGCTCTCTGCTATTGCCTGGGAAAGCAGTGGAAGATGGCCCAAGTGCTTGGGCCCCTGCACCCACATGGGAGACCTGGAAGAAGCTCCTGGTTCCTGGCTTCGGACTGGTATAGCTCTGGCCATGGTGGCCACTTGGGGAATGAACTGGCGAAAGGAAGAATTTCTCTCCATCTCCTCTCCCTCTTACTGTCTGTAACTCACTCTACCTCCCAAATAAATAAATAAAATCTTTTAAAAAAATCACTGAATAGTTAACAGAAAAATGAGCATTTGTATTGTATCAAAATGAACACATAGGGGCCAGCGCTGTGGCACAGCAGGCAAAGCTGCTGCTGCAGTGCCACCATCCCATTCGGGCACCGGTTTGAGTCCTAGCTGCTCTACTTCTGACCCAGCTCTCCACTGTGGCCTTGGAAAGCAGTAGAAGATGGCCCAAGAAAGGGCCCTTGCCCCCATGTGGGAGACTCGGAAGAAGCTCCTGGCTCCTGAACGGCACAGCTCTGGCTGTTGTGGCCATCGAGGGAGTGAACCAGCAGACAAAAGACCTCTCCATTTCTTTCTCTGTCTATCTGTAACTCTGCCTTTCAAATAAATAAATAAATTTAAAATAAGTAAATAAATCTTAAAAAAAAAAAAAAGGTGTGGAAGAAATGGCTGATTGTGCCCTAGACAGCAGTGAACTGTACTTCAACATCCTACTACAGTGTTTGCAATGTTATGGAGCCATTAAAAATAATGAATACATAGATGACCTTCTGGTAGCAATGAAAAAAATATTCACAGTGGAGGTATAAGGTAGTCACTACAAATTCAGGTGTCAATCTTAGACTCAAGAATATTGTGGGGCAAGTGCTGTGGCGTGGCAGGTGGAGTCACCGCCTGCAGTGTCGGCATCCCATATGGGTGCCGGTTCGAGTCCTGACTGCTCCAATTCCAATACAGCTTTCTGTTGTGGCCTGGGAAAGCAGTAGAAGATGGTCCAAGTCCTTGGGCCCCTGCACCGGCACAGGAGACCCGGAAGAAGTTCCTGGCTCCTGACTTCGGATCGGTGCAGCTCTGGCCGTTGTGGCCATCTGGGGAGTGAACCAGCTGATGGAAGGCCTCGCGTGCTCTCTCTCTCAGTGTAACACTGACTTTCAAGTAAATAAATAAATCTTTAAAAAAAAAAAAAAAAAGAATACTGTGACAAACTAGATGTGTTCCTGGAGGTGAGGCTTGTTAAGGGACTTTCAGATTACATAAACAAATCTTCCTCGAAAGAAAGACAAACACTTAAAAAAAAAAGCCCTCTCTTCCTCAACCTTTAAATATATCACCTACCAATTTTTTAATCCAGGAAGGGGGGAGGAATTATCCTCTGGGAATAAAAATAGTTATATACAAAGCATTTAAAATGGAGCTAATGTGAAGTCTTGCCAGCACCCTTTCCCAGTGACTTCCTAGGAATTACTTTGACTTGGTTCTGGGGACAGAGGCCCTCAAGTCATTACTCTTCAAGATACTGGAAAGGCAAATCCCACAGCCACAACACCCTACTACTGCACTGAAAAAGTGCACTACACAGAAAAGCAGAGTACAATCACCCACAACGGAGATATTTTCGTTCTGATTTCTGCCAAGGTTTCACCAGGTTGGTCTGAAGGAGATTCCTGGTTCTAGAGCACGAGATGAAAAACGATTTAGTTACAGCCAACCTGGACGCAGCACCGACTCCTCCACGCCAGAGGGAGAAGGCAAAAGGATAAGAAGAGGTCAAGGAGTCTCCGAGCTCTGCTGTCCTCCCCCCACGCCAATACTGGGGAAAAACCAAGGTTAAAAATTAAAATAAAATAGGAACTGTTACGCAGAGACAAAGCCGAATCTTTTTATTTCAACTACAGGATGGGGGCTGGGGGTGAGCTGAACCTGAGCAGGGAGGGGGAAGGGCAAAGGTTGCCCTTTCCTTCTCCAAGTCGCGCACCCAGCATCATCCACGGCCCCCGGACACCAAAGGGAAGGAAGCCTAAGGGTCACGGCGCCGCTGGTCCCGTGTTCGCCCCAGCAGTAGCCCTGGGCTCCAGATCTGTCTCCCCAGGAGTGGGCGAAGGGCTCCAAGTCCGCCATTAGAAACTCGCCCAAGTAAGAAGTGAGGAGAAACAATGTGCCGGGGAAGAAATGAGCCGAGGGAACCCGGCAGGGCAGAGGTGGCAGCCCTTGCCCCGAAAACACTTAGGAATCTCGGCTCGGAACCACAGAGTGGGCGCGCAACCCCGCGAGCCCCACTGGCGACCGGCACCCCCACCCCCACCTCCGCCGGAGAAAAAGGAAAACACCCCGGGACCGCCCGGCGACCCCCGCGCCCACGTCCGCCTCAACCCAACCCACCCGCCCGGCCGCCCGCGACGGGAGCGCGGCCTCGACGCGACGAAGAAGGCCGCCGCGGGGTATTCAGCCCGGGTGGGTGGGAGCCTCCGAAGGTTTCCCTCACGCGTTCCCGCCGCCTCCTCAGCTGCTCCCAGCCACCTCTTACTCTCGACGGCTCTGCACAGGGAAGACATCAAGGAGAAGCCTTACCGGGTTCCGGCTGCGGCTCCGCAAAACGAACCTCCCCTTTCCTCTGCCGACACCCACAACTCTCCTCAGCTCAGTCCCGGCTTTAGCGCTGGTGAGGAGGAGGTGGGAGAAGCAGCAACCGAGCTCTGCGGGCGAAAACTTCGTCTCCCGCACACTCATTGGCTATCCGGGGAGGCGGGCCAAGGCGTCCTGGGCACCTCCATTGGCTGGGGCTGCCTTCCTTCAGAACCACCCCCTCCCCTTAAAGGGGTGGTCCGAAAGCCTGTCCCTCAGGCCTGGGCCACACCTCCGGTCCTGCTGTCCCCGCCCCCCGTCAGCCGGAGTTCTCCGCTCGTGCCCCCGCACCCACCCACGAGGCGGCCGGACCGACTTCTGCGATCTGCTGCGTTGCCCGTGGTTCAGCTTCTAGGGGACTGGGGGACTCCGGGACCAGGACAGAAAAGGGGGGCTGAGGTGGCGACGCCGGCACTCGCCAACTTGGGCGCTCAGGCCGCAAATGCGGCTCCCACAGACCCTGTCCGAGGACGTACGCGGCCTCGATTCCCAAACGTTCTCTCTGTCCAGTCTCGAGCCCCCCGTGAGGGGCGAGGCCAAGGGCGCGGCCTGGGCCCCGGGTTAAGGGGTCTCCTGGGTGCCCTAAGAGCCATGGGCGCACTGCACTCTCGCCTCGCTCCCGTGGGGGAAAGAGTCCCCCACCTCCTGTCATGGCTGTAGCTGGAGAGGACGTCCTCCATTTTGTCCGAATTGCTGTGGGACCTTAGGACCCTTTCAAAACCTAACCCCGTGGGGCCAGAAACTTGGCCCCCTGGCGGCCCGCGCTAGGTTCTGCCATTCGGCCGAGGGAACGGCCTCGCTGCGGTGGGGAGGGGGCGCGACGGTGGGGAGACCAAGACCCGCTCCCCGCCTCCTTCAACCAAGATGGAGGGAGCTGCGGAGCCGGGTTCTCCCCCGGCTCCAGGGACCCAGGCCTGCCCCGGGGGCGCCCTCAGCGCTGCCGTCTTCTCTCCCCACCGGGCGCTGGCCTCCCGACCTCCCTCGGCCTCTCCAACATCTGGTCCAAAAGGGCTGATGAAGGCTCCACCTCAAGGCCCGCTCCATCGCTTCGCCCACCCTGTGCGGACCCCGCACTCCCCCGGGAGCCGGGCCAGGACGGACGGCGCCCGAGGGAGGTGGACCCAGGGCCACGTCCACGAGGGTCTTCCGTTTTGTGCCTTGTCTACACCTACGTCTTCAGGGGACGTCGAGGTGCTGTAGCTTGGCAAGATAACGCCTAAAGATAAAAGTGATGCCTCTTTGGTCTCGCCCTGGCGGTTGTTAGTGGAATTGCAGCTGGTGGTGTTGACTTGCGAAGTTGGTGGAATACCGAGGGGCCTAGAAATTCACATACAGCGACGTTTTTAAAAAACACGTTGATCCCCTTTTTGCCCCTTTCTCTGGGATATGACAAGGTCGCATGTTTATTAAATGAGAATTAGACGTAAGCCATCTAAGAAATGTGAGTTTATGTTTGATGAATGAGAATATTGTTTAAGACGTGTATTATAGAGTGGTATCTTTATTTTATGGAAATTCTCAATATTGCTGACATTTTAAAAAGTAATTACTACTTGGAAATAAGTGAATAAAAATTAATGGCAATATTTCTTGACGGCTGTACATTATAACGAAACATTTTCCATTAGCATGTGTAAGTACGAAGCCAGAGGCACAGTGAGTTTAATAAAGACCCCATAGAGAAAATGTAAAGTTTGTCAAACACAAAGCCAAAGCTACATGTCATGCATTTTCTGAAGGCTTATCTGGTACTCTTCAAAGATTAAGAATTCATTAACATCATTATTTCAGGGAGTGCCTTATTCCATTGTAACAAAATACACAGTTGGTAAATTATAAATTATAGAAGTTTATTTTGTGGTGGGCATTTGATGCAGCAGTTATGAGTCTTCATTGAACACTTATATCCCATATTGGATTAACCTGGATTTAAGTCTCTGTTCTATACTTGCTTCCTGCCAGCCACATGGGAGACTCAGAATGAATTCCCAGCTCCTAGCTTTGGCCTAGCTCAGCCTTAGTTGTTGCACGCATTTGGGGAGTGACCCACTGGATGGAAAATCTCTCTCTCTCATCATACATTTAAAATGAAAAAAAAATTTTAACCAAAAAAATTTTTAGAAGTTTATTTGGCTCATATTTTTCTGGAGTTGGCAAGTCCAAGATCCAGGGATCACATCTGTCTTAATGCATGCCAACATGGTAGAGAGCATCAGGGCCTGCTTAAGAGAACAGAACACAAAGATAGCTCACTTTTTTAAAAAACTTTTTTTTAGTTTCAAAGGCAGAATTACAGAGATAGAGGGAGAGGCAGAAAAAAGAGATCATGAAAGATCTGCTGATTCACTCCCCAAATGGCCACAACAGCCAGAGCTGGGTCAATCTGAAGCCACGAGCCAGGAGCTTCTTCCGGATTTCCTACGTGGGTGCAGGGCCACAAGGACTTGGGCCATCTTCTACTGCTTTCCCAGGCCACAGCAGAGAGCTGGATCAGAAGTGGAGCAGCCAGGACTCAAACTGGTGCCCATACAAGATGCTGGCACTGTAGGCGGCAGCTTTACCCGCTATGCCACAGTGCTGGCCCCTCATGCGCACCTAATATACACTACTTATAGAGGGTTGAATGGTACCCTCCTCAAAAGATTATCAACCCAGAAACTGTGAAAATGATCCTTTTTTGGAAAAAGAGTCTTTGCTGATATAACTAAGGATGTTGAGATGAATTCATCCAGAATTATGGTGGGCCCTAAATTCAGTGAAAGTGTCCTTTTGAAAGAATACAAAAAAGAGAAAGGTGAAAATAGAAGTGGAATTTGGTGGTAATACTATTCCCAGCCAAAAAATGCCTGGGGCCTTGACACAGAACCTCAAGGAAAAGAATTCTCAACCTGTTAATGAGGCTGCAAGTGGCTTAATCCCCAGTTAGCCTCCAGGTGGCAACACCTTCCTCAAGCTCTGTGACACCCTGAAGCACAGGACCAGCAAAGCTACACCTTGACGTCTGGCCCTAAGAAAACTGTGAGGCCATAGACGTTTACTCCTTCACGCTCTAGAGGCCAGAAGTCCAAAATCAATTTTTATTGGACTGAGATCAAGGGGTTGACATGGGCACACTCCCTTGAGAGGCTCTAATGGAGAATCTGTTCCTCACCTCTTCCAGCTTCTGGTGTCTACTACGTATCTTGGCTTGAAGCCACATAATTCCAGTGCTTACCTCCATGGTCACATTGTTTTAGCCTCCCCCGTGTGTCAAATCTGTCTGGCATCTGTCTTATAATGTGATTTCAGTTAGGGCCCAACCTGATTATCCCATACTCTCCCTAACTCAAAATCCTTTACTTAACATTCACAGATCTTTGCTGTGTAAAGGAACATTTGCAGATCCCAGAAATTAGGACCTGCTATCTTTGATGCCCATAAGTCAGCCTACTATAGCTAGTGAGAACCATTTAGATGTATTTTATTTATTTATTTTCATTCTATTTGAAAGGTAGAAAAAGAAACAGGTACTGATTTACTCTCCAAATTCCCAAAGCAGCCAGGGAGAGGCTAGGCTGAAGCAGGAGCCCAGATCTCAATTTAGGTGTCCTATGTGGGTGGCAGGGAATCCGGTACTTGCTGCTGTAACTGTACCAAATACAACTCTCTTTCCTTTTCATACTCTGATAAACAAAAGCTAGCTTCTGAGCTTGTGACTAACCAGAGTGTCTATTCTGTTCAACAGATAAATAATGCTTGTTTTGAGTTTCAGAATCTGGCCTTGGGAAAGCCAGTTTAAGTTGCAAACTAGTCCAGCTGTCTTAAGCCAACAATACCATATGATTGAATTTATTGTAACAGCATATAAAGGAGGTATGGGCTTCATTCTGGTTAATGAAACACTGAAATCTCTTAACACAATACTTCACCTCTTCCAGATCCAAGCCAAATAACATTTTTGTCAGCTGCTTAGAGGTGAAGAATATTCTGTTGTGTCCTCTTCATGAAGCCCTCATCAAGCCATCAAGGAAGTTTCTCAAGAAAATACCTTGACCTCTAAGATTGATAAAATTCCCTGTTATCAGACCTGCAGCTGCTTTCTGCACCTGTCTGCTCCTGACTTGTAATATTCACATCTTTAGCAAACCAATCTCCCTTTGCACTTTTTTTTTTAAAGATTTATTTATTTACTTATTTGAAAGGAGAGTTACTGAAAGAGGCAGAGATAGAGAGACTTTTCATCTGCTGGTTCACTCCCCAAATGGCCACAACAGCTGGAGCTGGGCTCGATCCGAAGCAAGGAGACAGGTGCTTCTTCCGGGTCTCCCATGCAGGTGCAGGGGCCCAAGGACTTGGGCCATCTTTCACTGCTTTCCCAGGCCATAGCAGAGAGCTGAATGGGAAGTGGAGCAGCCGGGACTTGAACAGGCGCCCATATAGAATGCCAGCACTGCAGGCAGTGACTTTATCAGCTATGCCACAGCGCCGGCCCCCCTTTTACACTTCTTAAAAGCCCAAGACTGCCCTCACTGAGCAGGACCGTAGCTTTTTGAGGACGCTAGTCTGCTACCCTCCTTGTCCATCAGTTGATTAAATTTTATTGTTGCTTTAGCCTAATAACTTTACCCTGATTCTGATTCGGCACTGTAAGACAAGGACTAGACTTTCAAGTAACACTGCTTCCAGGTGTGCAAATTAGCTAGATTAGAAGCAGAAAAGCTGATACTCATAGCAGTCACTCTGCTATAGGCTGAGGGTATCCCTAAAGAAATGTTTTAACCACAATTCCAAAAACCTGCATCTCTGAAAGTCTCCATTCTCCTTTAAATACTGTGTTGTATCTATTTTGTTAGGGAGTATAATCTCTATATACTATTACTTTTTTTCTACTTTATTAAAATACTGAGTTTATTTCACATGTATATTTGTCTTCCCACCATTTCCACGTCTGACCACTGCTACTACTGTGTCCTATCATAACATTCCATACCTACTTAAAACCAAGCAAACGGTGGAGTTCCATCTTTAAAAACTAAACAGGCATTTTGGACAACACATTCTTGGCAATGGGACCTGGACAACATTTATCAAACATGGTAGGGAAAGTTCTCACTCTGCATTATAAAAAGGACAGCCAGATATCAACTGTTACAGAAATGAAATAAGACAGAAAATTTTAACAAACTGTTTAAACGGTTTTCTTAGAGAGACTTCCTCTACTGCTAAAGATCTTGAATAGCCTCCTGGTCAAGTCATCCAGAAGCAATTC